ACATCTTACTTCAGGATAACTGTTTAATAGTATAATAAACATGATGCATTAGGTTTAATGAGCTTAATCTTCAAAATTTGATCTACATATGGTATCTATGAAATCAATAACCAAAAACAGAGTCTTCGTAGGTATTTGTTGGGCAGATGATCGATAGTGAGCSTATTTAACAATGTCCCATGGGGTATGTGAACATCTTTACACGCTCAAGACACTAGCAGCCATTTTCATAATTTCATCAAAGCTTAAGATATCCTTGGGCAAATGTTTMTTCAACCACTTGGTTCCCTTCGATGCAACCATCTTCCATTCATCTTTTTGATTTGGGAACTTTCCATTAAGACAAGCTAAAGCCAAGGCCGTAGCCCACAGAGTATCCTTGTCTCCYGTAGGCAGCTGTGATGGACAAGTTTTCCTGAGGTCGTCCAATTGGGTCCCACAGATACTAGCTAACTCGGCAGTAAGTTCCCACGCCCCTGAAGCTTTTTGAATAGAAACTATCTCAAGATAACTTTTTTGCGTTGTTGAAGCCATGGTGTTGCCTTGAGGGAAGTCCTCACGAGCGTCTTTCAGATTATACGCTTCTTCAATCTCCATGTCATAATAGAGGTCACTAGAGAAACAATCTTCGATGGTTGGATCGTATTCATTAGTTTCTTTCGTTCCTTTGGATCTAGATCTCGTCTGATACAAGGGTTCACAAGCTTTCTTTCTCAGAGATTTACTTTTGAAGAATCCTGAAAATGGGTTAAAAGAAAAACCTTTTTTCATTGGTGCTGCTCTCCGAGGCAAGCCCATCGCATGGCGACGTACAGGCAATGATGCAGTAGCACAGTCGTAGTCACAGTCAAGATCCGACAAACCAAAACTCGCCATCTTCATACTTCTCGGTGCAGCTGCACCGATGTCATYATAAAGGTCATCATCATCACTAGACGCATCATAACAACACTGACCCCGTTTCGGCTTTTTTAAAGGAGACAATATTGGTTTCTTATTCTCTTTGTCCACAGCTACAAACGACGTCAATTTCGACGCAACATTGGCTGATTTGCTAACTTTTACTATGATGTCCTCAAGATCAGYGTTAGAATAAATGTCAGCGTCTTGTTTCTCCTTGATGAGGGTTTTTGCTGCAAGACGATGAAGGAGGTAGCTATTGTCGTTTGAATTAAGGGCTTCCAGACTGACTTTGTGCTTGATGTTTCTATTTGTCGATCCGACTGCCAATAAACCGCTAACAGTGACGGATCCCTTGATACTTGAATCACCAGACACCAAACCATATATGATAAGACTGTTGCCACTGAAGATGGGTGGTAGTTCTTTTGGGATAGTCTCCACACTGCACCCTTCTGGAAGATCCCAAGTCACTTCGCAGTCAAGAAGGGCTGGCTGGAGGGCATTCTGGAGAACCTTAATGACCTTTAGACAACAAAATTCAATTATTATACACATTTTTTAAATACAGGGTGTATAAACGCAAAACCAAAAATAAATCAAAAACTCTAGAAGGCATATCAAGTTGCAAAGCGAAGCCACAAAAACCCATAAAATAGTTATTTCACTTATACACTTTTTTTTTACTTTAGTATTCTCTAATTTCATTGCTTTCTTTTGTGTTTATTTTCCTTTACGATAGTCTCCTCGCAGCCGTGTTTAGTTTCGGTCACGCGTCACGCGTCATGCAACCTCTCCTCTGCGATAAAATCCGTATCTCCGCGCGCCCATGTAATATCACCTCTATTTCTCCTCATAACTAATTACATCAAAACATATACAACTTTTATTATCAATATCGAATTATAAATGACCATTCTTTATTGTCTTTCAATAACTAAAGCATTGGTCACTATCAAAAAGATTATCGTTAGTAACGTTATTGTCGATAGATCTCACACTTTGATTTGCTCGTTAACATTCAAATTGCTTGCATTCACTGGATTTAAAAATTTCATTGCCATAAACGGTAAGATCACAACTTTTTACTAAATATCATATTTGTATGTTATCTCATATGTGTTTTTAATGAGTTTATCCCAGTGAAATTTCGTTAAAAATGTTCAATGAAAAGATGACGAACATCATTAAACAGCTTAATTAATCAGAGATGAAGTCCAAGATCAAATCCAAGATATTGTTGTTCATGAATGTATAACATTTCAACTTATCCACCGGAAAGTCCGCGTCCACCTCCGGATTACATCTCCAATGCGCCGGCCGCCTTTTCCATGATTTCATCAAAGCTTAAGATATCTTCGGGCAATTTTTTCTTCAGCCACTTGTTCGCCTTTTCTGCAACCATCTCCCATTCATTTTTTTGATGAGAAAACTTTGCATTAAGACAAGCTAACGCCAAGGCCGTAGCCCACAGACTATCCTTGTCTCCTGTGGTTAGCTGGGATGGACACCTTTGTTTGAGCTCGTCCAGTAGTGAGCCACAGATACTGGCCAGCTCAGCGGTAAGTTCCCATGCTCCTGATGCTTTTTGAAGGGAAATGATCTCAAGACAGTTTTTTTGTGTTTTCGAAGCCATAGTCTCGCCTGCCTCGTATGGAGGTGGTGTCTCGTCTGATTCATCATCATTCAACAGATCACTAGACAGAAAACTTGGCCCAGCAGACTCAGTTATAGTCAGTGTGTTGGGCCCTCCCGCCGCTGGAACTGGTGTAGCAGTCATAGCACTGTAAGTAGGTGGGGCGTCGCAGAGTACATCAAAACTCTTTGTTTTTGCAGATTTTGTAGACGTCGATGAACTGAAGAAGCTGCCAAACCATGATAAAGGATTTGGGAAAGCCTTCGTCTTTTTTTGGCATCGAAGTTCGTTAGTCAAGCTGCACCGCGCAGAAAGTGCATCCATGCTCTCAAACACAGCGTTCTTTTCGATCTTATACAATATGTAGTTCTCGATAGTTCCTTGATAGTTAGGTGAAGCCAACGAATAAGAAATTGGTTTCTTGCTATGTTTGTCCACAGCTACAAACGACGTCAATTTCGACGCAACATTGGCTGATTTGCTAACTTTCACTATGTCCCCACTCGTTGCATACCTGTCAGCGTCTTGTTTCTCCTTGATAAGGGTTTTTGCTGCAAGACGATGAAGGAGGTAGCTATTGTCGTTTGAATTAAGGGCTTCCAGACTGACTTTGTGCTCGATTTTTCTATCTGTCGATCCCACTGMCAAATCACCGCTAACAGTAACATACCCCTTGACACTTGCATTACCAGACACCAAGCCATATATGATAAGACTGTTACCACTGAAGATGGGTGGTAGTTCTCGTGGGATTGTCTGGACTCTGTACTCTTTAGGCCACGTCACTTCGCAGTCAAGAAGGGTAGGTTGGAGGGCATTCTTGAGAACCTTAATGACCTTTTAAGAAAAAATGCCTCCTTAATCATTAACGCATGAAAAACATAAGGTCATTCTTGGTCGTCTCTCTAGGGAGTTTGATTTCCAGCCAGAGACCAATTGAATATTGAATATCTATATTGTTAGCTTGTTGAATCGATGTCGGTTGAAGTGTAATACAGTATCCGTCAAAACCTGCTTTCTGAACTCTCCCATAGTGCTGGGATGGACTGTCATTACTTGGTTAGAAGTAGAAGTTATATTTTATTATCCATCGCTTTCTCCACCAACTCCCCCCCCCCTGAATTATTTTTTTCGAAGCGGGGCAAAGAGCGGAGTTTGAACATGTAGAGGTCCTCCCGACCTTGAAAAATATCCTGAAAGCATTGATATTCAACTTTTGTTTTGCATTTGTTTATAATTCCTTGGATGAAAAGTCAAAAGAAACTTATTACACATGCACAGAGTTTGATTGACAGGTGTTTGTTTTGTTATTTACTACTAGACCAAAATAGCGGGGCCACAGTAGCAGGGCTTTTAACAGTGAATATGCCTCCGATTACCGGGGAAAATGCCTTATTTTAATACCACTCATGCGTTAAATTTCCCGGTATTTCCCGGGGGTCAAGGGRCAGGTGCATTAGCTCACAATTAAATAGAAAGCAGGAAAAAATGAAATGTTATGTGCAAGTAAGGTGCACAAATAAAAATTATCATATGATGTCAATTCTTGTCAGGCATCTCGTTCTTTTTCCCTCCCCAGCCTCTCTCTTCCCTATCTATCAACAGGGAACCCGAAATTTAAACTGGAAAAGTGGAAAGATGTGCTACAAAGAAGGCTAAATTAATAAATTATAATAGATTTAGATTGAGACCAAAGAATAAACATAACAACTAAAACTTGCCTATAACAGACAGCGCTAAAAGTTAATAAGTATTATAGTACTCAATAAATGAGAGTTTTTAGTTTATGTAAATAAATAAAATGTACTTATTTTAAAGAAACAGACATTAAGTATGAATTATATATTAAAAGATTTGATTCATATTTGAAGGGATAGATTAATAACATATCGATATATCAACGAATATAACAGATATGAGATATGGCAGTTGCATTATATATCAAATTTTTAAATATCATTTAAAATGATATGACAGGTGTGGATTTTTATCAAGGCGAGGAGCAAGGAATGCTTAACCTATAAATAGTGGACTGTATCAAAGACATAAATCAGGACTTCTGGTTCAATAATTACTGGGCATCTTGTCCATGAAATTTGGATGGGTGATGGGCAGGTTAAAGGTTAGATTTTGGAAAATATTTGAATAAACTTAAATATCACTGATTTTCAATGTCTACTGTCAAGCCTTTTGCTTAGAATTATAATGAAAATTCCCAGATGGGCCACAATACTAATATGCTTTATCTAAAATACACTATATAGATAGTGCATCATTTTAGATAAACCACATCAGGATTGTGGCCCATCTGGAAATTTTCTTTATAACTCTAAGCAAATTAAAGACATGCCAGTTAGCCATTGAAATTCACTAATAGTCTCCTTCACGGATACCTGCGCCATCTTGAAAGGTAGCCGTGTCTTAACATGGAAGTGAGAAAACCATTGAGCGTGCAATGATAGATACCTGTGAATAATTGTCTGTAGGTGTGAAAGAAGGTTTCTATCATTGCACGCTCAATGGTCGTCTCGCTTCGATACAAAGGCATGGCTACGGTACCTTTCAAGATGGTGCAGGTAACTGTGAAGAAGACTATTGTTAAGTTTACCACTGGTGTGAGTGTACAACCCCTTCACCCACCAGCTGGATCCACCCATGTATTACATTTTGTAAATTGAGCTTAATTRAGTCAGTTACCTTTGACTGCATCTTTTCACCATGGGCAACAAATTCTGCAACTCCTTTTCCAGCTCTTGCAACGCCTTT